AAAATAACATCAGAGGTTATTTTTGACCTCAGCTGATCTATAGGGTACCCGGCAACGTTTCAGTACTGTTTGGTACACGAGTAAGATGGTTCATCGCTTCTCTTATCTCATTCTTGGTTACGGCTATTGCGGGGTCAGCAAACGATGCGTAGCCGGTAGTGTGGTTCTGTGCACAACATGCGCTGAAAAAACTTTCTCATCTGAGAAAAGTGTGAATTCAAAATCAGCTTGACAAAGCAAGACAAGTGACTTCAGCTCATCGTGTGATACAATATTGTCTGTTATGTCTTCAAGTAAAAATGATTCAGCAGTTGGCAAACAATTGCAATTTCCTAATGGAAGAATGCAACGAATTGTAACGCGACAAAATGCATAAGGATATACTTGCGCGAACTTTGTGCGAGATCCGTAGCCAGGTGCATTTCCTTCAAGTGTCTGGTGTTTGTGGTTACCGTTAGTGCGGTTCACCCCGAGGCTCTTGCCTTCTTCAGTGGATAAACTTTAAAAAAGCGGGATCCAGCGCACCTTCAGCAAAATTATGCATCAGACTAGTTGGCTAGTAGTAGTAGTAGTAGTAGTAGCGGGTTTAGTAGTAGTAGTAGTAGTAGTAGTAGTAGTAGTAGTAGTAGCGGGTTTAGTAGTAGTAGTAGCAGCAGTAGTAGCAGCCACTGGGATCGCGCATTCCGAAAGCACACATGTGCAGAGTGGACCATTTCACTCCTTGTTTGGATTACAGGTTGTTGAAGCACTTAGCCCACCATAACATGGATCCAGCATGATTCTCAATAATGAACTTCCTGCCATGGTCAATTTGATAGATAGCAACTCGCGCAAAATTCTATCATCGGATAGTAGCGTTTGCGCTTTTCTTCACGTGTTGCTCTATCGTTGATACTGCTCATCTGTGACCATGGTGCGCAATGTGGTGCCATAACCATGACTTCAGGACGCTGAGTGCTTATCACACTCATGGCTCTTTTTCTTCCTTCGGAAGTTAGGATATCAAATCCAGTCCGCAGATCAATTGGCGGTCCTACTCGGAGTCCCGCTAGAGCGGCCGTGTGGCTAAGTCTAGCTGAACCACTAAATAGTTCTAGAAAATCGATCTTACCTTTGGTAACTGGTTGCCAGTGGGACTCGAGAAAAGAATGGCCAGAAGGTGAAACCTGTTCAGCGTCTGCAGTCATCAGAATGCCTGAAGCGTCTCGACCGTCGGAAAGGTCGAGTGGGATGTCAACATCTTCTATCGGATTAAAGCCCTTTCTTATCTTTGACACATTGGTACGGACTATACGAGTGCCAAGATCAATGCTTGCCATGGAACCTTCTATGGTAAGTAGTTTACCCTTAATCCACTTACCACCACGACTCCCATCTGACATTATCTTGCTCTTGTCTTCAGCCCAGTAGTATATCTTGTCACCTGGAAGAAAGGGACCTGAAGACATTTTGAGTTTCGCACTCAAATCCCGTCTAACATCATCTGCTTGTTTTGCCTCTAGATAGGCCTTGGTAGCAAGCATCCTAACTGCTTCTATTTTCTTCTCTGGCGTTGGAACATTGGAAGTTAACTGAGAAGGAGTAGCAGCCTCTAAGTTCAGGATGTCTGCAGGTCTAGACCAAATGCCATCTCTAGTGGAGTTACACCACCGTATGCAACGGAGGAGTTCCTAGCAAGACAAGCTTGACGGACCAATTGTCGATAAGTGACATCCGCTAGTGCGGGATCATCTGCCAAGGAATTCATCATCAGTGTAACCTGTTTCTTAAAAGTACGAACTGCAGCTTCTGCTCGATTAGGACGGTGTTTCTGGTCCTTGTGCAATAGGCCTAATGTTCCTACGAGCGTAAAAGTCTTCAAAATCTGGCTGCATGAACGCTTGATCACCTACAATCGTCTTGGGATTGACCTGGTGGGTCTCAAAATATTCAAGAAACAAACTGATGGTTTCCTTGGAGTTCATCGTGTTAACCACATATGCTGTTGTCAAGGACGTAGCGCCGTCGAAGGGCATGAGAAAAACAAGGTTCTTCTTACCACCTTCAACATCAACCATACCATGATCAACAAAAGTGAGTTCACCGAATGTCTCACTGCGCGTGCCTGAAACCTTGGCGCGAGAAGGTGCTCTTTTGGATTTCTGGCATGTATCACAACTCTTCACCACTGCGTCATACTGTTTGTAAATGTCTTCAGGTAGTTTCAAGGCAGAAGTTCTTCTTCTGAATTGATCAGTTGACATGTGGTAATGTTTCAAGTGAAGTCGCAGTAACTCGGTAGGAGAACTCAGTTTGTCATGTATCCGTTTCAAAGCAATGGGCATGGTGACTGTTGACTTAGGCTTTATCTTCCCTGGCTCTTTCTTCTCTTCGACTTTTGGCTCGTCCGGTATACAGGCTCGCGACTATCCGGCCTTGCCTCTTCATCGTCCTTCTCGACAATCTCTACATCAAGCCAACGTCTGGTGCTTCCGTCGGAATAGTGTGTCAAAACGAACATTGTCGTCTGCTGATGTACGAGGCTTCATCTTAGTTGTATGTCGAACTGGAGGAACATCCTCAGAGGACTGATCTGGCTTGGCCGATAGTTCGGCAGTATCCTGTGTCTTCTTGCAAGTCTTGTCGTAAGTATGAGGTCTATGTTTGCCGTTGCAAGCTGGACAAGTAATGGCTGCAAAGCTGTGAGACGGCTGTCGATTTGCAAGAGCAAGGTCGAGGACATTAAGAACGGTATGGTCGGCAGTTGACACGGACAACGGAAAGTTCTTTAGACCAAACTTCTGGCAGGTAAGGAATTCTCCTGCTGCGGTATGCATGAGTTCAATTTCGAGATGTCTCATCTGTTGAATACTGAACAAAATCGGAACCTTACCCTTATCCACAATGTCTATGGCGGTCGAAACAGAACTTCCGTTAGAACGGGCAAAGTACATGACCAACCTCTGAGTGATCACAGACGTTTCCCCGTTTGCGAACGTGAACATACTCCGACATGGTACCGTTTTGAACCAAATAAGGTTTGGTTCCTGTTTCGAACATGCCTGCGTCAAACGGTTCACGGCATGTCTCGATCCCATCGACCGCGTGACCTGTATCTAAATCACGAACGTCGGCTCTTGGCTGAGATCAATCACTGAACTAAGGAAGGACTGTTCAGAGTGTTGAGCGCAAAAGGGCACAAGTGAAGTCTGTTCTGACTTTGTTTCTTTGTGTGCCCCTTCTGTGCAAGTGCCGAAAGTATTACTTCCGTAACCGTTAGTTCGGTTGTCGCGTTCTCATGTGCATGCGAAATATCATCTTGTCGGTCTGTCTTGTCCGACCACTCGATGTGCTCTACACAGTACGAAATGAAACTATCATGCCATCCGGACTGATACCAATCTTCTCCATAGTAACCCCAGTCCTCGGTACCTACACCACTCGCATCATCACCTTGCCAGGAGGTGCTTTCTGCTATCGTTGAAGTGGCAGAGGGATCTTCTGTCATGTTGGCCTTTCCTTTCTTACTTTTGCCTTTGGCCTTGCCTGCAAATGGTTGTTGATCCGTGCCTTTGTTTCCTTTTCCATAGTATGGCTGTTGCCATTGCGGGGTGTAAGGCTTATTGCCTTTCTTGCCTTTACCTTTACCAAGAAAGGTGGAGTCCGGATCTTCATAACCTTCTGTCATGTGCGAATAGCCTTTTCCCCGACCACGGGGTCTGAAACCTGGCCTCTTGCGACCTTTTCCTTTGCCTTTCCTGAATTTTCTGCCGCGGATTTTCCTTCTACGATAGCCGTGGCCATCAGCCTTCAACACGCCGTGAAACCTTGTTCACCGGTTGTTTCATCGGTCACCCAGTAGCCTTCTTCGCCATCCATGGTGCCGTGTTCTTCGATGAAATATGTTCGACGCCTACGATCGCTAGGGCGGTGTTGAAGCTGTGGATCGCTAATGCTGGTTCTACTTACACAGAAAAGTTGTAGAAACTGTGTCTCAACTGCCTGATACTCGTAGTTTTCCATTGGAATATGTTGTGCATTCGCTGATACTAGGCGTTCTCGCTGTTGCTCATTCAAATCTGCTTGCGCAATGAATATCATGGCAATCAAATTCCCAGGTCATGGGAATGCGGCATGATGTTGTTGTTTGGCTGCCTGGCGGAGCAACTGCAAAGACCATTGATGCCAACAGCGTAGTGTCATGAAAAATAAAAAATTATCTCTGGTGTTGCAAGGCTGCATGTCAATTGGCATTCAACGCATTTTCGTCAATCCATGCGCCGCAAATCAATCCCTGCACTGCTTGATTTCAAGTTCAATCCCAGTTTCAATGCATTTGTGAAAGCAAATCCATCTCCAATCCGATCTCAAACAGAGTGCGTCAAAGATGCATGACTGACCTGTGACGCTGATATATCATGCAGGCGTTTTCGCTGGTAGCGGTTCCAAGTGGCTTGTCGCACCACCCACCTGAGAATCTATACTGGAAGACAAGACCAAGTTCCAAGAATACGATCGAAGGTTCTGCATGGCACTGGTGCAAAAGGAACTCTGAATTGACGGTGTACACACACAAAGCACGCTGCACGTTGCAACACTAGCTGGAACCATGCGCATTATGTAGCAATCCTCAAACCCAGCAGAGCTGCATCAAAACGGAAGAAGATCATTTGCATTGATTATTTGCAATTATTGGGTTTGTGCTGCAAAAGTGCAGCCTGCCAAAGCTACACAAATAACTTTCTGTACTGAATTTGCAATGGCAAGATCACTTATTGGCTGTAATTCTGACATGTAAAAGTAAGTTCTACCTTTTGCCAAGGTTTGTGCGCAAAGTCCCTTTCGAGCAGTTTTCAAGAGTCACTTCCTGCAAGCCTGCTCATATCCAGAGATGTACGAAAGCCATCGTTGGGATTTCACAGCTTGGAAATGCAATTGACGATCTGTTCTGTATGAGTGAGAGCCATAAGTAGGAATTCTCCTGCTTGCATTTAAAGCTTTCAGTTTTGCTCACGGAGCAGGTGCTGCTGGAGCGAAGCCAAGCGCATTGTGTGGCACAGTTGTGGCTTCCACCCCTTCTGGAGCTGCGCAGCGAGGCCGGGCTGAGGTAATAGTTTTCTGTGATGCCCAAACTCCTAGGGTTCATTCCAAGAAGAGAAGAAAACAAGATGGAGCCCACGAACCCGAATGCAAACACGTTCAAAAAGCTACATATGTCCAAATGACACTCTTGTAGGACACTCTTGTGGGACACTCTTGTGGGTCACTCTTGTAGGAAACTCTTGTGGGGCACTCTTACGGGACACTCTTGTGGGACACTCTTGTGGGACACTCTTGTGGGACATTCTAGTAGGAAACTCTTGTGGGACACTCTTGTAGGACACTCTTGTGGGATACTCCTGTAGGACACTCTTGTGGGACACTCGTGTGGGGCACTCTTGTGGGACGCTGTTGTAGGAAGCTCTTGTGGGACACTCTTGTAGGACACTCTTGTGGGACACTCTTGTGGGACACTCTGGTGGGACACTCTTAAGGGAAACTCTTGTGGGGCACTCTTGCGGGACACTGTTGCGGGACACTCTTGTGGGACACTCCTGTGGGACACTCCTGTGGACTCTTGTAGGGCACTCTTGTGGGACACTCTTGTGGGACACTCTTGTAGGAAACTCTTGTGGGACACTCTTGTGGGACACTCCTGTAGGACACTCTTGTGGGATACTCTTGTGGGACACACACTCTTGTGGGACACTGTTGTGGGACACTCTTGCGGGACACTCTTAAGGGACACTCTTGTGAGACACTGTTGCGGGACACCCTTGTGGGACACTCCTGTGGGACACTCATTTGGGACACTCTTGCGGGACACTCTTGTGGGACACTCTTAAGGGACACTCTTGTGAGACACTCTTGCGGGACACTGTTGCGGGAGACTCTTGTGGGGCACTCCTGTGGGACACTCATTTGGGACACTCTTGCGGGACACTCTTGCGGGACACTCTTGTAGGACACTCTTGTGGGACACTCTTGTGGGACACTCTTATAGGACACTCTTGTAGGAAACCCTTGTGGGATACTCTTGTAGGACACTCTTGTGGGATACTCTTGTAGGACACTCTTGTGGGACACTCTTGTAGGACACTCTTGTGGGACACTCTTATATGGACACTCTTAACTCTTGTGAGACACTCTTGTGGGACATGGTTGCGGGACACTCTTGTGGGACACTCTTGTGAGACACTCTTACGGGACACTCTTGTAGGACACTCTTGTGGGACACTCTTGTAGGACACTCTTGCGGGACACTCTTACGGGACACTCTTGTTGCACACTCTTGTAGGACACTCTTGTGGGTCACTCTTATGGGACACTCTTGTTGGACACTCTTGTGGGACACTTGTGGGACACTCTTGTAGGACACTCTTGTGGGACACTCATCGGAACACTCTTGTGGGACACTCCTGTAGGAGACTGTTGTGGGACATGCGGGACACTCTTGGGGGACACTCTTGTGGGACACTCATACGGGACACTCTTGTGGGACACTCTTGTGGGATACTCTTGTAGGACACTCTTGTGGGACACTCTTGTAGGACACTCTTGTGGGACACTCCTGTAGGGCACACTCTTCGTACGAGACTTCCTCCAAAAGTCACGCTGCCAGGCTGCAAGACGAGCGTTTCGTACGAGACTTCCTCCAAAAGTCACCCGTCAAGTCTCAAAAACGAGCGTTTCGTACGAGACTTCCTCACACGTCAAGTCTCCAAAACGAGCGTTTCGTACTAGAAAAGTCACGCTGCGAGGCTGCAAGGCGAGCGTTTCGTACGAGACTTCCTCCAAAAGTCACGCGCCAAGTCTCAAAAACGAGCGTTTCGCACGAGACTTCCTAGCAGAAACACCCATCGGAGCACACACACATCACGCAGCCCTGCCAAGCAATTTCGCGATTCCAGCCCCTCCAAACAACACCCGCTCACACGCCAATCCCAATGTGACAGCGACATTCACCTCTACCACAACTCACAACCTCCCGATTCCCTGCGCCTGCCACGAATCTTTCTGGGTCCACACGTCTAACGCGCACAAAGTACTGCGCCTGCCACGAAATGTCACCTCCGTCCCACATCGCAACCTCACGATTCCCTGCGCCTGCCACGAAAATCCCACTTCCACACCTCAAAACCTGCACAAAGTCCTGCGCCTGCCACGAAAAGTAACAATGTCATCTCATGTGAGCTTCAACAAAATTTGCACCACACCACACGTTTGGAATGATTTCGACCCGTTCTGAGCACACTCCCCTCCACCAAAATCGGCATTTCAGCTGAGACTTGTCACGAAAACAGAGCTTCGATGCCACACCCTGAAACGCAAATCCCAATGGCACGGCCACATCCAACACCCCAAAAACACGACTCTCCAAACGCCAATCCCAATGGAACTGCGCAGCAATCTGCAGATCTCACCAAACGCTGCGCCTGTGAGTTAAACGAGAACCCTTCGCTACGCATTCGGTAAGGAGCCCTTGGTTCCACTCTTTTTGTTCTTTCTTTGCTGCGAAAGATTGCTGCACAATGCGAGAAAGGGCTAGATTCAGTGTAGCGACTTTGCCTCATGGGTGAGCCTGGGTGAATGTCTCAAGGCTCGAAACCATGTAAATTATGGTCAGCAACAGCTAGTAGCGGCTACCAGCTCTTGGTCGTGCGAAGTAGGCAAAGAGTACGGTTATCCATTCAAATTCGTTCCTACAAGGATCTGGTTGTCACGATTATGCCGAGTTGTAGTCGGCTGTTTATCGACTGTCAGTTGCCCAATATTTTTTTTGTTGGGAGGAGTTGACCATTGGAGGTAGAACTGAAGGTGGAAGTGAGCAAGACAATCTGGCTCGGACAGTTCACTGTTCAACGAGCTTCTGGCAAGCGATTGCTTTGAGCAAGCTCTTGTGTCGAAGCCACCTTTGATGAAGACATTGCTTCCGCCTCCAACTGTGGAAAGAAGAAAGGGAGGCCCTTGGCAAGGAGAGGTGACAAGGTAAAATTCGCATGTGAAAAAAAACATGTAAGATTGTAAAGGAAGGCTCATATATATAAATCACAGATGGCGAAGCCGTACGAGAAGGAAGGCGCTGCGTCCAAGATGCAGAGAAGGCGATGTCTTTAGGTTAGTTGTGTAACGCTCAAGCAAATGAAGTGACTATGTGTCACGTGTGCCCTTGGTCACTTGTCCTTACGATGTCAAGCTATATGCCAGCAGCCCTGAAGGGCGGCAGACCTGCCTTAAAGCAGTTCCCAAAATCAGGAATTCCTCTGTCTCTTTGAGATCAGTTGCTGTGTTTTGCCTGGCATGTTCCGTGACTATATATATATATGTTTTTCTTTTTTCCAAAAGTGTCTGAAATGGGGACTTTGATTAGTGATAGCTTCCCCTCATTGTTCGCCAAGATGAGCCTGCCAAAGTTGTTACAGCACTTTGTGGTCGTTGATGCATGAAAGAGGCCCACCTCAACGTTCCACAACATCTCAAAGTATGGGCCAGGTCCTTCAAAACAATGCCTTGTCGAGAATGGGTGATTCCTATGAAAACTTGATGACCTGTGCCGGACCTTTGCAGTGGTTTCTGCTTTACTGAAACTCATTGGGCACGCAGGAGGTGCGCTAGTTGATTTGGCAACTTGGGTCACTTCAGCTGGCCGCTTCGGCCGCTGCGGCCACTGCTGAAGTGGCTCATGTGGCCGTCAGCATCTCTCTCTGTCTCTCTCTCTCTCTCTCTTCCTCTCTCTCTCTCTCTTTTCTGTTGAAACGTATCGAATATCGAGTCTCTTCTCTCCAAACCCTTTGTCAACCTTCCTTTCAGACTCTTTTGCCAAGTCCTCTGCCTCGGCCACTTCGGGCAGTTCGGCCACAATGGACAACTTCAACCTTATCTTATACCTTAGAGTCTTACATAACTTGCATATCTCTTTTCAAGTAACAGCAATCTACCTCAGCTGCTTCGGCCACTTGAAGATGTACCCGGATTGTGCGTCCTCTGCTGAACTTGCCTTGGAGGACAGGCATGTTTCATGCAGTAGTTGCATGGGCTGTTGCACATTAGACTTACTTATCAATGCTGCTAATTGATAGTTCCAAAGGACCGAATTGATATATCACTACAAAAGACTCCCCCCCACTGTGCGTGATAGAATCAATTCAAAACCACTCCCCTCTTTAACAAATTAATAGGGAATTGATTTAGGGCGGGGGGCCTTTCCCCCACCTTAGGACACGCATTGCAAGCATCAATTGAGTATACTGTATATTATATATAGGTGGAAAATTGGCTTAGCGACACAAAGGTTGTTGCAGTTCACACGGGTCTTTTTGGTGGCGCTAGCACGAGTACACCATCGCTTCCCCGCTATAGTTCTAAGGTGTGATCGCACATGCTCCAGAGACTATCGAATACCACATGTTCGATCGTTCTCCAGGTCATGTTTGAGTGAACTTTTGTGTCCAAGGCCTGCCAACAGCAATATTGTGGAAACACACGAACTTTGAATCATCAAGAACAAAACATGTAAGAACATGTCCTAATTCTTGAAAAGGCCAGTGCAGAACAGGTAAGTAGGGCGCTTTGCGTCATCAAGGCGCTTGTGAAGACTTTGCCACCAGTGTGGCCAGAGCCACCCCTTGGGCTGGAGGAAGTGGAAGCCCATTTGATTGGGAAATGGCCATCTCTGGCCAAAGAACCAATGTCCAGACCGTGACCAACCTATGAGTCCTTTGAAGTGTTTGGAGTTTGGAGGGACGCATGCCATTGTGAAAGCATGTGGTCCTTCAGGGAGTCTGGATTGGTACGCTCGGGGGCAGAAGGCACACCGCACTGGTTTTGACTAAAGCTAGTTGGGACACGCTTGGCAGGAGTGTCAAAAGGTGGTGGCGATACACGTGCGCGATATGATACAGCCAGGTAGGACTTGTCCTTGGGATTGTTTTAGACCCTGCCTAGGCCTGTTTGTTTGGCCAATCCTGTTCCAGGTATGGAACTATTCCCTAACACTTGGGAACTATTCCCTAATACTTAGGAACTATTCCCTAACACTTGGGAACTATTCCCTAAT